GGCCTTCAGCTTCCATGATCATTTCTCATTCTGTCCTACCGGCAGGATTGCATACCGGGCAAAATTTACATTTTTATCATTTGACTGACTCTTTCTGTTGGTAAGAAGATCAACCTCTTTCTTTTCAGTCAAATCTATGTGACTCCCACTTGAATATAGCTGCTCATATAACTGCTCATGGTAAGGGTGTAGTTTGCAAGCGTCTGCTTACACTAGCAGTGAAAAAACCACTCAGAAAAAACACTGCTTGTCCCTTTACGATTTCGCAAAAATATGCGACCGTACTGTGATGTAAACTAAATGTATATATTTTAAAAATAATAAAACACACACGATATATAGAGACGAAAAAAAGAGTGATGCCAGAAAAAAAGAACAATAACACTACTGTATGTAGAGACTAAAACAGGACAAGAAAAGAACGTGACATCCTGTGTTTGCGGCACGTGCCGCTAACATAGTTGCAAAATCTCCTGAAGAAATGTAAACCCGTGAAACAGAAGTCAAATTTGACTTTCATTATCTCGTCCAATTTATCATTCAGCATAGGTAATATAAATTCTAAAACTGTTCATCACTTCAAATGAACAAGTGACTATATAAGAAGCATGAAAAGTTCTGCGAACATTGCAACAAATCTTAATTGTAAAAACTCATACTAGAGTATTCAAAACTGACGACGCCAGTTTTCTCTTAGAACCAACATGCTACTCCAACGTCGATATTTGTTCACATCTAAACTGAGTTTTTCTATAATTCTGTTGTTTTCTCTCCATCCAAAATCTTAACTGTGGATTTGAATTAAAATGATTACAAGTTTGCTAAATCTTGTCTATGGCTTTTCACATTCCGATGACAGAGTTTTTAGTTATCATCTAACCAGTATATGCTAAAAGTTTGAACTTGATAAGTTTGAAGCATGGCCAAACTATTGGTGTCGCGAAGCTTAAGATTACACTAAATTATTTTGTCTTTGTGTATACATAGCAACATTACTTAGTCGCTTTCTTTCTTCTTCGGTCAAATGAGTCATATTTTCATTCGCTCGTCAACGTTGAGTTGAAATTTTCCAGTTTAAAATACAGAACGCAATACATCGACATTACGCTGTGTGTATAAAAACAGAATTAAATGATTCATTTCAGCCAACAAGTTGCTCTTAGAATCGATGGGGAATAGACATGGAAGGAGACAGCGACAAGAACCGCAAGCAGGTCTCGTCGACTTGGCGGAGAAAACGGTATCTCCACTACCTCTCATATGGCTCGATGTTTCGCTTGATTCTATTCCATCTGAAACCCTTACTGTTCAAGAAGAATTTCAATTAACGTTCACTGTCACATTATTTGATGATGAATTAGATTGTGAAGGCTTTATTCGTGATCTTCCACTCACGAAAAAGATTGTATTTATTGTCAACGAGAATATAGTCATTTATTCAGTACTCCGCATCTATCGACTCTGCCAAGTTGCATGCATTTTTATCTACTCCACAAGTACTTCAAATTTAAGCAATGTAGACTGTTTCACACACGATTTTTGCCAGGTGAGTAATCCGTCTCCTGGACCCAACCCATAATAAAAGTCCCGAGTCTACTGTCACGGCAGAGTTGTAGCTGGTCAACAAAATCATGACTGGTACCCGCCGGTCACCGGCGAACATGTGCAGACTAGATGGGCCGGTTGACTGGCCATTTTTCAAATAGTTTGACCGGTAAGCGACCGGTGTTTTTTGCTTTCTGTTCGATATAAATATGCTTTTTTCTGTCATATTTTCTAGTTATAAGCCAATTCGACCGAGCCCGGTCTAGTAGTCTGACCAGAACCGGTCCAACCGGCCGGTTGATAAGTCTCGACAGGACCGGGAACGGGCGCCCGGTCCGGTTACATCTCTGTGTCAGGATTCCTGTGAATAAGTTCAGTAACCAATGTACCCCATAGCAACATATACAGTATCGTCTGTGTTTCAGACAAAAGTCAAACGTGTTCAACTTGATCAGCTTCTACGTCGCGTAAAAGCATTTCAAGCCAGGTGGTACCGCAATGTGACCGAATCACTTTCAATCAACTATTTTAAACAGGACAAAAATACCAGTGAAGATCGTTCATCTACAGACATTAACGGTTCATTTCTTTTTTCTCAACTACTGATCAACACGCTTCTTCACATGAATTCTTTATCAACAGACATGAACGAATTAGTTGACGTTTGTACAAGAGAATATGCTGGGAATGCAAGTCAACTCAAACAAGTCGAACTGTTTTATAATAATTATACTCCAGATGAATGTTTACGCTGGTATACGAAGCAAACGTTTCTTTATATTCTACTGAACAAGTCTCTTCGCGTTCAGAATATCGAACTCCTCTTTCTCTATCGCTTCTTCATTCGTGACACTCAACGAGAACTAGCCAAAAATCAATGTAAATCTCCAGTGAAAGTCTATCGTGGCCAAATGATGTCATTGCGCGAGCTTGATCGACTGCGCAAGTCCATTGGTGATATTATCTCAATGAACTCATTTCTCTCTACAAGTCTCGATCGACAGTTAGCTGAATTCTATGTCGAAGGAGCAGCGATCGGTTCTCATGGAGAGCTAGACTCTGTACCTGTTCTATTTGAAATTGATGCTCATCCAAGTGTTGCAAGTACTGAAAAACCATTTGCAAACATCTCACAATTTAGTGAGTTCGCCGAAGAAGAGCAAGAAGTGCTGTTTATGCTTGGTTCTGTTTATCGTCTCAATGGCATTCGTGAAGAAAATCGAATGTACGTCGTGTCGATGAACCTTTGTAACATTGGCGAACACGAATCGAATCGTTTGTTAGACGTAATGAAACACGATTACAATATTCGCACGTCGAATTCGCTTCGCACCTATGCTTGTGTGCTAGTCGGTATGGGTAAGCTTGATATAGCCGAAATGTTTCTCCGACGTGTTTTACGCGAACTTTCGCTTTTGTCAGTATCAACTGGACAGCAAGAGCAGACGATCGAACATGCAAGTTGCGCATTCAGTTTAGGACAAATTGCTTGGTACAAAGGCCAGCACGATAGTGCTCTTGATCATTTCAGACGAGCGCATCAGACGTTCATCACCATACCGTCACCAACGACAGCCGAAATGTTACGGTGCGGGGCAACCGAAATATTTCTTGCCAATATTTACCGGGACAAAAAGAACTTTAGACAAGCACTTATATATTACACTAATGCTCTCTCTACTTTCAAGCGATATCCTCTGGAAGCTCAGATGCACCTCGCCGATTTGTACTCGAATATGGGAGTGCTCTATCGACTCAGAAAGCAATATGATCAGGCTCAAAATTTTAATGAAAAAGCCATGGCAATACGGACAACGTGTCTCCCTCCAACACATCCTGACATTGCCAGTTCTCATAGAACCCTTGCTGAAGTTCACGTTGAACTGAATGAGTTTAACAAGGCTCTCGAACATGGTGACGCATCGATGTTGATCGAAAGTAAGGTATTACCTCCCGATCATCCTTCGCTTGCAATAACCTATCATAATTTGGCCAGTATCTATAGTCAACTTGGTAAGCCTGAACAGGCAGGCTTCTATCACGAGAAGTCGGCGCTAATTGATTATCCTACGATCATGAGACCACCTCGGCAACCCAATAGAATGTTTTATTTCTGTCCTTGCTGCAAACAGCCTGTGTGGATTTACAAATTGTTTTGCTGTCTTCGAGGATCACCTTGTTTTCGTTGTATTCGCAACGCTATTTGTTGCAGATTCCACTGATGAATCGATGAGAACGTAATGTTGAAATGCAACATTTTTCTGACGATGTTAAGGATATAAAAGGGGGTATACATGTCAAAATCACAAATGCTTCTCTCATCACCGGCAGATGCACTGTTTTGGAGGCAGTACAGGAAAACATGAATGGTGTTGCGGCTTGTCCACGTAACGCGACACTTCAGGCATTAAGTATTTATTTCAAAACTTTAAATAAACGTTTATGCCATGTTATAGAGCATGTTCGAAAGTGTAAGAAAACACATTGTTATTCAAGAAATTATTTTTTTTGAGTCTTAAAAAATGTATACATTAATCCTCATTTATCACACCATTAGTAGGAATTTTTTCTTTTCTACTTCGAAACCAACCATACACGTTAATGGCAAGCTCGAACCCGCGCTTTCAGGTGTTCTCTAAACTATCATAGACGGCCTTTCTTTTGGCAAAAGAACCAACTTTTGTCCTATCCTTCACCTTGAGATACACCTAATACAATACTTGATCAATATCGCTGTCACGTCACACCGTTACGAAAAGACCTTATTTTAAAATTTTGATGAGTCCTTTACGAAATACCAGTGAATAAAGTAGTGGACTATTACTAACTTTTTACGGGGGTTCTGATGCACTACTTTTTTCTGAAAAATGTTTCATCTAGAGGGAAATAAACGTAACGATGTGACAAAAACTTCATTTTTGGTGCTATTCCTAGCTCATATAATTCAACAATAATTTCCATAGTACTAACGTCAGACAGTCTCTGGTTACAAATTAAACCTGATTTGACCTTTAGTTTACTTATCTACCGATAAATCTTCCAAAAAATCTCTAAGGTTTATTGTATCTTTCGATATTTCCAGCTACGGTTAATTTTAACCATTGTAGCAACACATTCAGAATCAATATCAGATTCCGCATTGAATGACGTGTTGTTCAGATTTTTTGAACAGACTATAGTCGTTCAAAACGAAAAAATAAACGGTTTAAATGATCAGTATATTTTCTTTTTCTTTTCTTCCTTTCGCCGTCCGTTTTGTTTTGGCAGTTCACAATATATAAAACAGCTGGAAAAGAAACGGAGAATCAGTTCTATCTATCCAGTAAGAAACAGTTCTGGAAAAAGATTTGCAAATTTTTCTGTCATATAATTACTATTGCCGAATATCTTTTGTATCGCTTTCATCAAGGTAACTATTTGTTTCTTCTTACTATCGTCATTTTGACATGGCTATGACTAATGCTGAAAGAATGAAAAAATATCGAGAGAAAATCAAAAAAGATAAAGTTAAATATGAAGCAGTGAAAGCAAAAG